CATAAACATCCATACCTTAGATATTAGTGAGCTGAGATGGATTAGTATTGACCATTTAAAATCTGACAACCACATGGTTTACTATGCCAGGGATAACAAATTGAAGAGGAATGGTGTTGCATTCATTGTCAAAAAGAACATATCCAGATCAGACATGAGGTACAATGCTGTCTGTGATATGATAATATCCACATGCTTAGAGGGAAGACTAGTTAATACCACTATTATTCAAATTTAGACCCAACCATTAAAGTCAGTGAGAATGAAATAGAAGATTTCTACCAACTTCTTCAATCTGAAATTGATCAAACATGCATTCCAGATGTAATGATCATTACTGGTGATTGGAATGCAAAGGTTGGGAGAAAAGAGGAAGTATCGGTAGTTGGAAATATGGCATTGGTGATAGAAATGATGCTGGAGATTGCATGATAGAATTCTGCAAGATCAATGATTTGTTCATTTCAAATACCTTCTTTAGACAGCATAAGAGATGACTCTACACATAGACCTCACCTGATAGAATACATAGAAATCAAATTGACTACACCTGTGGAAAGAAATGATGGGAAAGCTCCATATCATCAGTCAAAACAAGGCCAGGGGCAGATTGTTGAATAGACCATCAATTACTCATATGCAAATTCAAATTGAAGCTGAAAAAAATGAAAACAAGTCCATGAGAGTCAAAATATGACCTTGAATATGCTGTTGTTAAGTGTCATCAAGTTGATTCTGACCCATAGCGACCCTGTGTAGGGTTTCTGAGGTTGTAAATCCTTACAGGAATAGAAAACCTCATCTTTCTCCTGAGGAATAGCTGGTTCTTTCAAATTGCTGACCTTGAGGTTCACAGCCCAGTTTGTAACCACTGTGCTACCAGAGCTCCTTACCTTGAATATTGTTGTTGTTGTTATGTGCCTTGGAGTCGGTTCTGACTCATAGCGACCCCCTACAGGGTTTCTGAGGCTGTAAATCTTTACGGGAGGAGAAAGTCTCATTTTTCTTCTGTGGAACAGCTGGCAGTTTTGAACTACTGACCTTGCGGTTTGTAGCCTGATTCGTAACCACTACGCTACCAGAGCTCTTTGAATATATCCCACCTGAATTTAGAGATCATCTGAAGAACAGAGTTGATACATTAAACACTAAAGACTGAAAACCAGAAGAGTTGTGGGAAGACACCAAGAACATCATACATGAATAAAGCAAGAAATCATTAAGCAGACAAGAAAGAAGGAAAAGATAAAAGTGAATTTCAGAAAAGACACTGAAACTTGCTCTCCAGCATAGAGATACTAAAACAAATGGAAGAAATGAGGAGGTACAAGAGAAGAACAGATAATATCAAAGCTCAGTTCAAGAACACAAAGTCAAATATTACAACAAAATGCGCAAAGATCTGGAGTCAGAAAACCAAAAAGAAAGAATACATTCAACATTTCTCAAGCTGGGGGACCTGCAGAACAAATTCAAGCCTCGACCTTCATTATTGAAGGATTCTCTGGGCAAATTCTTGAATGATGCAGAAAGCATCAACAGAAGATGGAAGAAATATATAGAGTCACTGTTCCAAAAGGAAATGGTTGATGCTCAACCATTTCAAGAGGTAACATATGATCAAGAGCCAATGATAC